CTGATTTGCACGTGTTGTATTGCTAAGTTAAAAGGGTTTCGTTATGAATTCACGTCTTTGCATTTTCCCTCCTTTTCTTTTCTCTTCTTCTTGTAGTTCATTTTTGTAGAGTTCATCATTTTGCAGTTGTATGTAAGTGCAGGATAATGTTGTATATAAAGTTTATATATGTGTAGCAGTAGTGTAGTGCTAAGTAAAGAAGTGCTGGAACATGTTTAACCATGTAAGATGGGAATCGTTTGAAATAGTGTCAGCATTGTATTCCGGCTGAAAAGCTACAGGTACGCTGTGCCCACGTTTTCCCACCCCACTACACCTCTGTGTATGTGTGTGTGGTGGGAAGACATGTCTTCTTTATTTTTGTTATTCCTTTTGGAGGGGAGCTGAGGTAAATTATTATTTACTGTTGTCATGCTTATGTAAGGACTTATTTTATAACTTGTGTTTTTTATTAGTACGTTATTTATGTGTAAAGAGGTTTTGGTTTTGCAGTTAAAGTGTGTCTTAAAAATGGATTTAACTAGTATCTGTCATAAAGAAAGGAAAAAAGGGGGTCTGGGCTAAATTCTAATATTAGTCGTGTTGTTTTTTGTAAGACAACACTGCAATTTTCAACCAGAATAAAGAAAAAGATTCAGTCATTACACACAATTAAATGTAAGGACATAATACCTACCTTAAATAATTTCTCTGTACTTTTACATAGTTTACTGAGTTTACATAGGGTCTACAATAAGAAATCTTAGAATCAAAATTACCAAACACATTATACAGTGAAAACACAGAGTGCAAAGGAAACAAAAACACATGGTTGGTTCGTTTTCTGTGTATATAGATGTGAGGAGTGAAACATTACGAGTCCAGGGGAGACAAAAGAGGTGTACAGATAAGGGTTATCTGAATACACATGACTGGTCAGTTTGTTGTATGTATGGTATGCAAGCATACTATGTGTTTTCTACCTCATCGTATTAATATATAAAATTTTCTAAATTTATTTTTGCATGTTTGTGCAATTTCTACATATCTTGTTGGTCAAGAAGGTCGTTATGTCTTTTTAGTTCTAGCTACCTATTGTTCTGTGTCATTCACCAAGAGTAGCATCTTTTGAGTTGTGATGTGAAAGGTAGATGGAGGGTCACTCATAGTATGCGAAGTTAAACAGTTATCTCTTCTATTGGCATTCAAATTATCTTTTGTATTTCATTGGGATTGACCTGTCACATAGATAGCAAAATCGCTCTGGGTAAGCCTAACATTGATTATTTACGTAGCTAGTGTGTGATAATTTTATAAGTATAAAGATAAAGCGACCCCTATATTTCATCTTGAGGGTTGTTAAAGAAATCAGCTCATAAACATGTTAACTATGAAGACTGCTAACAAACGGTTTCAAATGATAATTCTTATCAACAAGTAGGATATTTTTAAGCAATGCAGCTCTCTTGTCGCTTTTAGGGGAACTCAACTGTACCTGAAAATAACACACACATACAGAGGTGGACGGCGAAAATAGCATTCAGTAATCCATAGAAGATAAAACTAGGAAAAGTTATATAAGGGTTGTACAAACGCACATGAATGGTCAGTTTTCTGTGAGTATGAAGCTAGACATATATGTCAAAAATGGTTCAGGACAGACATAAAGAAGAGCAGAAATAAGGATTACAAAAATACCTGTAACTGGGCAGTGTTTTTAGTTGTTTTTAATAACAGATGCTAAGAATTGAGGGTCCACAGAAGACAGAAACAAGAGTTGTCAAAAATGATAATTTCAAACAAGTGTGGCCATAACTCCAATATTTTTTTATTTGTAGATTTAATGTACAATCATCCACATGACATCATATTCAGATCTACAAGTTAATCGTCTCTACAAAAACCCATAAAATATTCTATAATGTGACACATAAACAGCCCGTCTATATGAAAAACGCGACAACTATAACATTCATAGGTCACTGAGACACATTTATAAATTTACAATTTTTGCAGAAAAACTATTCAGATATACATTGTTACTCGCAAAAGAAAATTACCTTTTGTTAAGTACGAAGAAATTGACCAATAAAATCGTTAATTTTTATTTCATATTAAGTGTGTGAAATCTTAGTCTTCATAAAGCAATACTCTGCTAAATGTTAGTTACCACAATATAGTATTTATAACTTGATAGAAACGACGAGTATTTCAACCTTTACACTGAACAAAAGCGCTAGCAATTTCGACTATTACAAAAAAGGCCGAATTTCATTTTAAAGTACATTTATTATAAACTTCTAATTACTTCGCAAGTCACTGGCCTAGCATTTGTGATGCAACCAAAATCGCGTGTGTTGTTTTTTTGCAAATCAAAGGTTTCTTTTTATTTCTGAAATAAACATATGTTGACATAAAAATAAAACAGGCTTTTGAAAAGTTCATAAAATTGCCTTTTCTTCTAAATACTTCACAACATTAGTGTATCGAATCCACAACAGTATGTACAGCCATAAAAGTTCTCGTCACAGTTTTTACCTTCATCTCTTACCTTATTCTAAGCCTGCAACAAATCAAACAAAATAACGATTTTTTCATAAAATACTCTTGTTACTTATAAAGAGTTTCAAGTTAAAAACAATACGAACTAACAATGGCCAACGCCAAGAATGAAAAAACATGCTAAAAAAAAAGAAGCAGCGTTTGAAGTATATGACACCAAAAAAAGCAAATTGTGATCCCTATTAAGATAAATAATATAGCGTTTTGACAACGATCTTCGTGGGTTTTTTGCTTCTAATACCAGTCCTGGTTCGCATCTTTCTCTGTATCGTGTGTGAGCAATGGGGTTGAATGGAAAACAGCTGCCTTTAACAAACAGCGTAATATAATAGCATTACAATTTTTTTCTTTTTTGTTGTAAATCTATATTTTGACAATTTAGAGAAAAATCCTCAAAATTTATAACCGTCTCCTAAATCTCCTAAACTGACCGAACCTCGAGAGATATTATATGATATATGGCCTCAAATATTACTAACAGCGAGGGTATCCAATTCATCAATAAACGCATTTACTCGTTGTAAGTGTTTGGATTAATTTTTAGTTATGATTGATAAAGGTGGTTTGTTTTGATTATGAGTTAACTATAATTGTTTCGTCGACAAAGAAGGCTAATTGTCAAAACATTGCCAACAATGTGTTCTCTGCACTTTCAACAACCTTAAATACAAATAAGCGTATTTAAGTAAAACAGTAAACAAAAAATCATTCATATTTAATAAGAAAGATTATTTTACATTAACGAATAGCAGATTCGACACGAAGTACAACCGTAGCATTTGAAATAACATGATTTTGTATTCTTCCCATATCAAACAGCAGAAGTTGTAAAATATTTAGAGGTAAAATGGCACTGATATCTTAACAAATCATCTCACTGTCCTAACACACCAAAAACAGTTTTAACGAAATGGCGCCAAATAAGGCTTATATCGGATTTGTATATGTAGTATATATATATATATATATATATAATCATATAATTCAGTAATTTTAATAATTAGTTAATTTACTCTTGGTAATGTAAATAAGATAGTCGATAAAATATTATTTTATGAGTTAGCTTCCAAGATAATGCAGGGTATAGATATCAAGTAGTCAAAGACGCTATATTTTCGGGTTTTAACTTACTAGTTGCTTGAGTATTCACATGTCAGATAGTAAAAAAACTTCATAATATTTTAGTTTTGTTCAACATACTAATGTGCACTTGTCAAGTGTCAAAGCACTTCATTGTTGGATTCAGTTTAACGTTTAATGTAATGTCTAGTTGTCAGATAGTCAAAGATAGATTTACGTCAACAGATACTACAGCTCTCAGATAGTCGATTAACAAATAAATACAGCTGTCAGGGAGTTGATTAACAAATAACGCAACATACAGCTGTCAGATAGTTGATGAAACTTCACTTTTGATTTTTTTAACAGACAGTGCAGTATGCAGTAGTTGAAGATACTTTGGGGGTGGGGGTCAGTTTATACAGTGTACAAATGTTAGGTAGTCGAATAAACATTGTTGGAATTTTTTTAACAGATAATAAATTAACCATTCGTCTGTCATATAGTCAAATAATCTTTATTGCTGCGGTTTTACATTTGAACAGATAATGCAGTGAGAAGCTAACAATTACGCTAAAAAGCTTTATTTGGCTTTTTACTTTAACAAATAATAAAGAATGCAGGTGTCAGGTATTCGAACGTTTAGTTTAACAGATAATGCAGTTGTCAGGAAGTCGAGTGAAAATTTTCTGTTTTAAAAAGTCAATGTCTTGTCTCTAAAATAGGCATAAACCTTATCGTTAAGGTATTCTCGCGAGTAAATTACATTATAAGTTGCCTTCTGAAACTGATGTTCCTAAAGCTAAGATCCCCGATTTTTTAGTTGTGTTAGTGATATCATTTGTAATGTGTAATCTATGAAGAATGATTTGTTTTTTATTTATAGAGTACGAGTGGAAATATATTTCTATTGTTGTACTCTTGACGAAGAACAATGCTCGCACAACAATACTTCATGTTTGACCCAAACCAAGATGAAAATTAACATTTTATTGTAAAGCCCCAATAATTTCGTTTTATCAAGTGTCCTTTATGCTCTATGTTATAAATATACTTTATAATAATCTATAATCTCAATCTTTTACCAAGTTCACGAGACAATACTTCTTGACTTGACTGGAGACTTAGCCAAGTTTTCCTTACCAGCTGTCATTCTGACTGCGTATGTTGTAAGATGGATAAGATGGTGGTTAATTTATTCAAATAAACGCTGTTTTTTGCGCTGATTTTAAACTGTCCCCTTTTTTTCTGCTTCGAACACAGTTCCGTACATTGTCCTCTTCGGAAGAAGAGTTGTAAAGAGCATCAACTGGTCGCATGTATTCCTCATTTAGCACAGGGCCTGAACGATTACCAATGTCCGAAAGATACATTCCATTTAAATCGATCCCCAATTCTTCTAAAGATTTCCGAGAAGACCGCTTACGACCATGATTTTGTTTAGTCTTTGTTTTACGTTTTTTGACTTTTCTCACATGGCTACCTCGACCGAACACCAAAGATGATCTTTTGTTCTTACACACAGCCTCGAGAAGCTTTCCTTCACTACTAAAGTGTTCTTCTTGAAAGGACCCTCTGGGGTGAAGTTCATCTAATTTTTTTTCCCAGAACAGATTTGATTCACTTACTGATTTAACTTGAGTACTGACACAAGGTTTGGATACCTTGTCCAACGACAGCGTGGACTCACTCTTCATTGGAGCCGCAAAGGTGGCCACCTCCGACTCGCAGTCGGTTGAGTCATTTTTGTAGTCAATACGGTCAATATCATTCATTGAAAACCAAGTATTTCGAGACCGGGGTAAAGCATTCTTGCACAATTCTTCAGTCCTGACTCGGTAGATGTGGAATGGAATATCATCAGCAGACTGGTGTCTTGTTTTATAAATAACCTTTTCAAATTCAGAATTATCTTTGCCAGAACAAGAATCACTTGGCGAATTGATTTGTATCACTAAATCTTTCACACTATCAGAGGAAGTGTCATTTTCATTCGGCCTGATCTCACTTTCAGGAGATCTATAGATTTCTTCTTCGGACTCTGAACCTGAGAATTCTGATGCGGACTCGATCTTAAGATTAGCATTATTGGCACGCATGAGCATTTCCGCGGCTCTGGGGCGCGTGTCATGAAACTCAAAGTCGTCATTGGCAATGGTAGTAAAAGAACCACCGTAAGTTTCCTCCTCGGGTTCTGCATAACTGAAGCCAAAGACACTACCGTCTGGTAGACTAGACTGGTAGCTTAAACAGCTGAAATTATCAGAGAGAGTTGCATAAATATGGGTGTCATCATCTCTCCAGGTACCCATGCTCATCTGGCTGCTGCCATGTTTCGTCATAGAACACGTATCATCCTTCTCTGGCTGAGGCTTAGTCTGTACGACCATTTGCAAGTTATTATTTTTAAAATGAGACGGATTCAGAATGGTATCTATTCCGTAAATGCTAGGAAACACGGGTTTTTTCGGTTCTGCCTTCCAACGATTCTTCTTCTGCGATTGTGCCTGTTCATGTTTTTCCTTTCTCCGGTAGTTGGTGATTATTCCGACTGGAGTGACAGAACCAAAGGGGCTAGGCTTCATCTGTACTTCTAAGGCGTCTTCTAAGTAGATTCGATAACGGCTATCGTCTGAAAAGAGACTAAATATTAATTGTAACTCACCATCGTCTTTTAATATTCCTCTATTTTCAACTTATCAATTGGAAAAAAATTGAGTGTTAACTTCTCAGTGGGAGAACAAAAGAAAACTTTACGAACCAGATGGCTAGTGTGTCCAGGAAAAAAATAAATGAAACAAAGAACATAAGTTGACTGAAAGCGTTTCAGGGTGTTATAAACAAATAAATAGAAACTTATATTGATGGCAAAAACGAAAAAATAAACAATTTAAAGGGTACAAAAAGGGGGAAAATGTCTTAGCTTTCGGAAAAGCTCAGTTTCCGTCTTCTGAGTGAAGTGATAAGTCAGTATGTTATAAGAGGTGACGATATCGAAACTTCGGTAGGTGACGCTAACAACTGAATGAGTGACAATAAAGGACAAGAGGATTTAGGTTTCGTGTGTTTAGTCAGGCATAATATTACTTTGGAACGAATAAATTATTATTTTTTTTTTACATTTACAATGTATATCATTTTAAAGTCTGGTTGGAAAAAAGTACATTTGAGATAAGAATAATTTTTAAAATTTTCATTAATTGGTTTAATTTATTTATGATTGCAAATGTTACTTAATAAGCGTTTCCACATTACGTCAAGAATTTCAATAATATGTTAGGCTCGCATTCTTGGAGAGTGCACTGAATGAAATAAATGATAAACTGTCGCATATAAATCAACTTATTATTTCTTGAATGCGTTGTAGTATTGTCACATGATGGAATATATTCACAATCGGGGCAACCTTTGAAACAACTAACGTGAGTCTCTTCAAGTTAATGTTCACTCTCCCAGTGGCTCACTGTGTACCTTTACGTTTAACAACAACCAAATCAAGTTGGTGTTACTATTGTGTTAACCAATCAGTTGCTACCGCCGCCTACCAAAGACGTTTGTTTGTTTGTTTTTGAATTTCGCGCAAAGCTACACGAGGGCTATCTGCGCTAGCCGTCCCTAATTTAGCAGTGTAAGACTAGAGGGAAGGCAGCTAGTCATCACCACCCACCGCCAACTCTTGGGCT